TAAAAATCAGAGAAAATAGCAACCTCCTGGTAGATGAGCCCAGAAACAGGTTCGGTAACGTTCTGAGAAGTACAAATGGCAGCGTAACACATTGGCATTTTGTGCTATTGCGGGATGTACGAAGCGCGAGCTACAGACTGCCATTTTCAAAACAGATGGAAGTCCGATGGTAGCGGCAAGAGCAGCTTTTAAAGATATTTCAAAGAAGATCAATGTCTGACGACAGAATCGTATTTCAGTGGCCAAATAATTTGGGAGTCTTTCTCAAGCTTTCTTGCCAAATTCTTGACAAGAAATACACAAAAACGTAACGATGTTCCGGCTTCGCAGAACAACACTTCAAATGTGACTTTTTTTTCTCAGAAATCACGTGATTTTACATCTTGGATACGCTCATAATGACGCAAGTCTTCCTTGCGAGATCAAAATGAAAACAAGTTTCCATGTGAGGAATATAAAATTAAATAAAGTTTACGACGATCACAAAATTATTAGCGTTGCTTTGCGTGTTTTAACTTTTTGTTGAAAGACTTCGATCCAAAACAGTTTTTTCAGCGTACTAGTGTTTGACTCGAAGCGAACACTGAATATTCAAGTGAAAGGGAAACGGTGAAATCGTGCTTAGTGGATTGCCTGGCAGGTGTGGAGCAGAAAGTAGTTTTCGAAACTGAACGTAATGACGAGCCGTTCCAAATGGATATACTGCTCGAGCTCACCTCATCATAAAATGGAGTCGTTCATAACACAGTTTGCAGTTAGTTTCACAGTGTGTTCGTGGTAAAAGTTTGTTTCGATAGCTGAACTGAACAGGAACGATTTAAGACAATCAATATGCGCAATTATATATGCTAGACATAAAAGATAAAACTTTCCGCTGCTATGTAGTTGAAACATAACAAAACTAAAGATAAGACGTCTCAATGCAATCCTGGATCCAGACGTTTTCCTCCTTCCTTCAATAGGGGTGGCGAATGGTCCTTTAAAAACCCATGGTCTCGCAAAGTATTCGCCGAATTTCACAGTTCTCGCAGTCTCGATTTTTTTCAAGGCTAAGAAATTCGTTAAGTACCGTTTTGTTTATTTTTTTTTAAACAGTTAAATGACATCACAACATCTTAGAACCTGAACGTCTTGAGTTCGCATCTAAAACACTTTAAAGTCTCGGTCTCTCCAATTGAAGAAATCAAAATGTCTCGGGCTCGCAAAGAAAAACGCTAATCTCGTCGTCTCGCAAAGTCTCGTATTTACCATTCACCACCCCTTTCATTGTAGATTGATATTGAAATAAGCGAGACAAATTTTTTGTCGCTCTTCTCGCAGCTTTTTTTTCGTCGCTTCCTACCTTCTTTTCTACCACTTCCTGTTTCTGCTCGTGGACAGCAAGAAGAAACGGAATATTATGGTTATATAGCAGGCTAGCTCTGCTTACGTTTCCAAATCAATCCCCTCTTTTGGAAATACACGAACAGCAAAATGTCTGAAATACGCCACGTAAAATTCAGCTTGATTGTGAGGCCAAGAGGACCCAAACAAAAGAGATAAATAAACATGGTCATTCAATTTCCTTTGTCTCACTGCCAAGCTGAATTTTAATATATTGGTCTCTTATTGTACATTCTCGTCCTCAGAGGCCCCGCTCCTTTTGGTCAGCACCAAGGATGAATGAACCCGATTTTCTGAGCACGCGCAGAGAATTCGTTTCGTTTTGGTAGCTAATTCCAGTGGGGAG